CTGGTGCTTTCACTTCCAGAGACAGTTGTAAGCACTGTGTAACTGCCTCGAGGGTGCTTGACCATTTTAACACAACGTGGTGCGATCATCCCCCTTGCGCGGAGCGAGGGTTATCCACCCCGCACAACATGATCTACTCGACCACCATAATGGTTACCGCCAAAAAAAAAAACGGAGGAAAAAAAAAAAACGGTAACCTGGTTGCCGAGTTCACGAAGTGAATTGGCTTGTTTTACAACGTCGTTGCCAAGCGACGAAAACCCAACCCCGATAGCAAATACCGGGGGGGGCGGCTTGTTTTACAACGTCGTTGCCAAGCGACGAAAACCCAACCCCGATGGCAAACACCGGTGACACCACTCTGGGATCGGTTGATGCGCTCAAGTCTCAGGTGCGAAGTTAGGCAAGAGTCGTGTCTTGCCATCATTCCGAGGCACCTCGTCGCATAGGTTGCGATCGATTGAGCGATTCGCCGTCGTGGTACAGGGTTTGATATGCTTCTTGCGGGTTTCGCCAGGCGGAGAGTCTTAGTGTTTTTCTTTAAATTTGTCATCCAGGCAATGTGCTGCTGTACCTACTGCCTGGCCTCGCTGAAGCCCCATCCGGTTGCCAGCAGAAGCTTTTACTCTGCGGGGTATGTCTTCATCAAGTAACGGTTGTCATGCGCATGTCCACCATCTACTTGCGATGTGACCATATTTGGTTACTGCATCGGTCATGATTGCGACAGGTTGACGACTTAAGTGCGAATGCTCTTTCCCCCTTTCAACGGCTCGGTGAGGATATTTCGAATAAGTTAAACGGACAGCTGGACAGCTTAAGGCTTGGAGCGCAGGGCGCTGTGGGAGAAGCACAGACGCAGTTCGGTCAATCTGTGGCGGAAAACATCGCAAATCCTGTCCAGGTGCCCACTTTGCAGCTCACAAGTGCCCGGTGTGGGCTCCACGTCGAATCCTCTCTTCACAAATGCTGTCGTTTCTCGAAAAACCTTGCTTGGGTCATGTGTGCGTACACACGCTTGTAACAAATGGGATGGTTTAGGGGACGCGGACTAGGGCGGTCAAACGGTTCTATGTAGACTAAGTCGAACATGAGGCAGGGTCGAAAATAAAAAAAAAGTCCCTCTTTTCAATGCTACTTCCATATCAGTAGCTGATATTGAACAGACGCGACGTGCGCGATGGGACGCTCAGATCTACTGATGGGACTGCTGTAATATCGAAGGCTGCCGCTTGCCCCAAAACTCCGTAAGTGTGGATCCAAACCAAGCAATCGCTGCCGCTGTCGCCAAGAGCCTTCATGTCCGGTACTGCGGGCGTCCAAGGCAGCTAGTGGTAGGAGCTGCAGCTGTAGCTGTGGGTCTGTGATGGCGAATGCTGCGAAGTTGGATTGTTTTACCCAGCATTGCGGACTTTCCGGACTGAAGCTGCACGCTTCGATAGCTCTAGCCCAACAGCAGATCTGAGCGTGTCAGCGCACCTCCGCAGATTTTTCCAGTATAGGTTTCGAGTAAAAATTATTTTGAGTTCGCAGGAAATATGTTCCCCTTCAATAGAATGGCCTTGACATATCTCGTGCATGGTTATTGGGGGCTCTTGTGGTCGTTTCAACTGTTATTGGTTGTTCACGTCCGCTTAAAGCTCACAATCGTCAAACGCACGTGCCTCCGCCGTTGCGAACAAGATGTCCCTCTAAGCATCCGTCTGGAACGATGGCAGGAGGGTCTGGGTCAAGTTTTCAGCAAGTTTGGAACCAGCCCCGAGGAGCTACTCAAAGAGGAACAGACATTAACAAACGGCGTGCATCAGGTACGGTTGTGGTTTCCATTCCTTGGTCATATCTCGGTGTCATGAAACGATTGGTCCTGTTGAACGTGCTTGAAGCGCCGATCAGTTCTCAGTAACCTGATTTCTCCGCCGCTCATTCATTTCTGTAACGGGCACAGGCGATCAAGGCGGTCGAGCGGGTAGCACCTCCGAGCACTCTGTTCTACGCAGAGAATGCCGCGGTTCTGCCCTTATGGGTAGGTATGGTTGTTTGGCCTGAAGAGCCTCTGACCAAGAAAATCATGAACAGCTACGGGCCCCTCATCTTGGCGGCTCTGATCTACATGTGGCTGACCTACGAGTGCTTCCAAAACCCTGTCTCACTGCAAGGGTTTGCGAGTGGCATCACTAATCTTGGAGGGTTAACAAAAGGTTTTGGAGAAGAGGTATCGGTGGCGACAGCCTGGTCCCACTTCTTGGCAGAGGACCTTTTCATCGGACGTTGGGTGTACTTGGATGGCCAGAGAAACAAAATCTTCACGAAGCACTCGCTGGTCTTGTGTTACTTGTTCGGCCCAGCTGGTTTCTTGAGTCACTTGTTTACCCGCGGGGTGACGAGCGTGGTCAAGCCTGGTGTCCGAGATATCATGCAACTACAGCCTACCAAACCATCGCCGAAAACGCCTCCTTCCGGGTCGCCTTCCTCGACACTTGGTGGAGAGGCTAAAGAGCTCATCACCAAAGCCAAACGGGAAGCAGAAGAAATACTCCAGCAAGCGCGATCAACCGGAGCTGCGCAAGCTGCATCTTTGCTGGAGGTGGGTGCGATCATGCATGTCATGCCTGGTTTCCGAGACTGGGTTATTCGATTACCTCCTGCTCACGACGAGGTTGGAGATCTATGTATGAACTGTTCTGTCATGCGAGACGCAAAGTGCACCATTACTTGCCTTGACGTAATCGGCGTTCTGTTCTGTTTGTTCTTGCCCAGGAGGCGGAGACGGAGGCCCTTTTGATATTGAAAGGAGCAGAGGTAGAGAAAGAAGCACTCCTGTTGAGAGCGAAGAAGACTGAGCCAAATACGGAGGCGGAGACTGGACCAACAGGGTCAGAGGCAAAGGCCCGATCAGAGGCAAAGGCTGGGTCGGAGGCAAGGACCGAGTCAGCAAAAATCGAGCCAAAAACCCTTTGACGGGAACGACTTGTATTTGATATCAAGAATTATGGATTATGCTGAGCACTAAGCCAGCGTAGTGCTGGGGTCGGGTCAGATTCGAGAGTGATGAAAGCATCCGCTCGTGACTTTAGGTGCGTTGCAAGGAGCCTGCCAGCACGTGTACATTTTTGCAAGATTAGATTTAGACTGAATTGTTTTCCGAGGGGAACCTACCAACTGTTACCATAGTTTCTCTTCAGCGCACGGCGCTACTACGTCGAGAGTTTGGTCACGCTTACATATGTTGTTACACTTTTGCCAAATTATTTCCACGAGACTAGCCAGGGTTAGGGTTCCGGCAGAGTCGTAGCACACTTGGCCATCATGCGCAGCTGTGCTGTCGTTGTTAGCACGCTGGCTCACATTTGCCGGCGTTTGTACATCAATTGCTGTCTCCGCGATTACTACTGCAGTGACTACACTGCTTTCATCACGGCATGACGAGTTTGAGCTGTCTGTAAGTGCGCCTCCATCCCAAAGGCTGTATGGATGCTACTGGAAGTGTGTAAGCTATGTATTGGTACTGATTCTGTTGTTCAGACAACGAAAATAGAGCAAGGAACAGGATCCCCAAGTTCCCAGGGCCTCGAAGCAAGGGGTTCATCTCTTGAGAAATGGCCTCTGATGTGGAGCTGAAGCCAATTGCATGTGTGGCCATGTGTCATTCTACTACTGTGAGTACCAGGTTGTCCTGATCCGCTTGATAGTCTAAGATAAGCTATTATTACAATGCATGTGCGAGTATTGGCCCACCTCCCAAATCAGCGCTCACAGCACTGCCAACCCGTGGTCACACACAAGAGCCCTCTCTACCCTCCCCTCCTGCGGTGTGTTGCCTTCGATTTTTAATGGGAGAAGATTTCAGCACTCTCTTCCCTCTGTGTACACACGAACTAGCGCTATCCACTAGGCCAGAAGCGGAAGCGAGAGAAAAACTCACTTTGCAAGAAAGCTCGATTACGCCGGGATTCGACCTAACCTGACCTCTAGCAGGTTTCGAGGATACCAACTAGACCACCGGGGCGACCGGGTTTGCCTCTGTTAGATAGACTAATGCGGATGTTGAAGGTGCTTCCTGAGGAACCAACCCAACAGGTCAACAAGGAAAGTGAAAGAATCTCACCAACTGAATCTCACCCACAACAAACGAGAAGTTGACGTTCCGTACATACTGGTCGTTTGTCTAATGGTTGGCTGTGCACTTGCCGAGACTGTTCCAATGAACCAATCGGGCAACATGCGGTGGGATTAGGGCGGGCGGGAGAAGGATAGCAGGACAAGCAGGATGCAGGTGTGAGATAGACAGCAGAGAGGAGCTTGAGTAAGAGAGAGAGAGAGAGAGAAAGCGTGACAGAGGCAGAGAGACAAGGGCATCAAAGATAACGGATACCTTGAACTGCCCCGCTGTTGGTCGAATTGCGAGACAATGAGCTTTCCGTATCACTGGTGAGTGCATCTCGTCCTAGTGTAATCTTTGGGTAAGACTATTCATTGGTTGTTCCAAGGTGTTCCCGCCAGCCCCGCATGACTTTGCGTGGGCGGCATATGCTTTGGCCAACCATCGATGTGATTTTGTCCTCAACTCTTGAACGTAGTTCGCTGGACGGATCAAGGGCTGTATGTCCTTGGATCGTGCATCAGTTAGATTAGAGGGAATAACGCGTCGTATCGGTATGCATAGCAGATACATGTAATAAAGTTCTCCCGCGTGTGCTCTTGTCTTGATTGCACGTGTTCGCTTCGCCGGCTTATTATGGGGGGTCTACAGTGACGTCGAGGTTACCTTCCCATCAGCATCGCTGGCGACAATAGCTTGCAGAACTCTGGCTGTGGACGCAGAGTTGCAGCCAAGTAAAATCATCCGAACTCTTCGCGTGGAAGGATCATCCCTCTTGGCGTAAGTGTTATGTTTGCTTGTTCCGCCACACAGCACATGCTTGTTGCGCACAATACAGCACCTAGACCTTAGTACTTTTGGAGCTCTCACCGACGATAAAAGCTTTTGTGCGGGTCTCCGCCAATACGATAACTCGTTGTACACACAGTGTAAGTAGGTGACGATCTGCGTCAAGCAACTCAATAATCGAGACGATTGCAAGAAGGAACCCTTCGGAGAGCAAGCCGATCGGGCTTTGATGTAGCGATCTGCTGTATAGCCTAACACACCCGCGTTCAACAGCCTACGTGGTCTCGGCGTGCAAACTTTGTTTTTTGAGTGACAGAGAGTGCTTGGAATAGGAGTTCTCCGCTCCACATCCTTGCTTCTCGACCATGACGTTCGTTCCAGGATTCGAGCAAATTGATGAAAGATGATATATCGGCGGCTATCCCATGTGGCGCTCCCGCCCGTGCCCTCTCTACAGGCCTCCTACTCTTTAGGAAGCTCTCCTTTTTAATAGACGCATGGGCATTCGCTTCCATATGGCAACCTTGTCCACTCCTAAGAAAGAACTTTGGCTCCCAAGCAGCGAATCATACTTGGCGAAGTAAGCACACAACACAGATGGATGTTCACTGTAGATCATCACAAAAGCAGGTAGTTGATGGAAGCTTATTCACCACAATATGTCGGTGTCTTTTCACTTCAAGTTGGAGGTATACACAACTCACGGTTACCGTCAGGGAAATCACGTTGCATGCACGCCCTTGCAACCTGTTTTACTTGCCAAACTCAAGGAAGTTCGAGGCGACAGAAGCACGTACACTTCGCGTTGTCCTGTCCGGATTTTACGACATGGCTTCCGTGGTGGCAAGAACGTTCTTGGAGTTCGATGATGGCAGTCTCCGTCAAGCAGGTCGATGACTGCAATCCGACACTTTGTTAGCTGTGGCTGTAGCTGTGTGCCTCCGATCAGAGAGAGAGGGGGATAGGGGAGAGAGAGAGAGAGAGAGAGCTGCCAGCCATTCGCCTACAAGTACTTACCTGCCATCTCGCACGAACCGATTGGTGTATACATGGGTTCAACGCACGCCTCGTCGGATTGCTGTGATGGCGTTGTGCATCTAGGGCAAATGGAAGTTAACTGTTCAGGGTGTTTAGGATAGCATGTATCGCCAGTAGGTAAGTGTAGTCTTTCGTTGTTCTGTTCTAGAAATGTTTTTTCTCGTCATCTGCCGTCCCGCTCGCTACCCCACAAATCCAGTGTTGATTGAGGGGGAGGGGCGGAATGTGCAAGATTGAGGGGACGAACCGAGGGGGAGGTCACTGGCGTCATACGTGCGCACTGGAAGGTACTCTGGAGACGGGACATAGACAATGGGAATGGGATAGAAACATATGAAGAGGAAGAAAACGTAATTCCGGACATCGGGAGTGACAAGTTGCAATTCCGTGGTTGAAAGCAATATAGTCCGGGGGTACATACAGAAGAGGGGAAGAGACTGCTCAACCCGTCCCGGGATACAATTCGAACGGAAGCACTGCACGGGAAGGTGAGACAAATACAAAATGTTATTCCATGTGTTACCTTCTTCCGGCGGGACCCCGGATGATACGTCAAGTACCAGGTTCGCCAAAAGGTATAGTCTGGGGTCAAGAGTAGATGGAACGAGAACATACACAGCTTTCTAGGAGTCATGTAGGTTACGTCCCGCAAGCAACCGCCTTGTCGATGAAGCTCCGTATATGAATACTCTTTAAACCCCTTTTCGCCATTCCGTTACAATGAGGCACGTTGAACAAGTGTGAGGCTTGCTGATGGAGCTCGTGCTGGTGGTGGCTACGGTTCGAGGAAATGTCGAAGAGAAATGTACGGAAGTTAAGACTAAAATTGGCTTATCACTGCCATCACTGCCATGCGAGATACAAATTATAAATATTACAGTGCACAAATACGGATTAAGAGAAAACCGAACATACTAGAGTTCAACTGCCTTGACACGACGCTCCATTACTAAAAAAAAGGAAGCAGCTACCGTAGTAGTCGAAAGAATAGCTTGTCTGGGGCTCTATTCTCCTTCCAGAGGATACTTGCCCTGCTTTTCAATGCAGTTGTCGTTGGCAGTCACATGCTACATTGTTCATGCTGAATCGCAACCGTTGTTCGAAGTTTGTCATGTCCATAAGGCGAGGAGCCGCAAAATGTTTAAGTCGTGGTTGTTTTGCGGACCAGCCCCGTTGCCCCTCTCCGTACGCCTGTCACCAAGTTCCAATATACGACTACTGCAATAAGTCGCCTACAGCGCATACCCTCGGAACACGGTAGTCAATTGGTGTGTATTCCCGGGTGATTGCCAACCTCCCGAGGCTGGCCGATGGTGGCGTGGCATAGCGCTCAGTAACGCGGGCCCTCCCTTATCCGCTGATATTCTTACGAGAGGCGTGCAAAAGCACTGCAAAAATGCTCGGGAGGCACCCGAGTTTATACTTCCTTCGGTTGCTTGTGCGACGGCAAGGACAACTGGATCAACAACCTTCTTGGGCCTCAAAAAAAGTGATAAAGAGACTGGCAGCACCTAAGCAAGCGATAGTGCAGTCGTACGAGGTTCCATGACTTGCTGCCACTCCATTTCCTGACCGACGAGGTGGGCAATGGAGAGATGTTGCGTCACATGTGCAGAGGCATTTGCGATTCCCGGCGCACGTACAACCTAGGGAGGTTGTGGTACGGGCGGTCATCCTTGTCTTCTTGGTCGAACATGAAGGCGTTGTCCTGTCGTGAACGGACCAACAAGACGGTGTGGCTTGGGAAACACGACATGCTTGGCTCAGCTACAGTCGAAAGAGCAGATATATTGATACGCTGATGCCACTAAACTTGAAACTCTCCTCTGGCGGAGCTTCTGTGGTAGGCCTTACCTCCACCGTCCATTTCTGCCGTCCTGATATTCTCTCTGCAATAGTATTGTCTCGAATATAGCGAGCCACAGCCTTGCCTACCATCCCCTCCACCGATTTGCCTTGTTTGAGGAGATGTCGCACCTACGTGGCCAGAAAGACACAGATGTAGCAACATTAGGGTTGTACGCCTACAATACTGTAATAATACTTCCTTTCAGATCGCCGAGGGGGTGGGGGGGCATCAACAGTGCAGAACCCCCCGCCCTCGCCCGAGACAATACATCCGGCAGAAGCGGGGGATAGTTGCACAGCAAAGGGATACCTCGCGGGGAAAGCCGGGATACTTAAGACAGATGTTCGTTCACACACCCAGAGCACAAAATACCCGCGTTCCATGGAGAGCTTTCTCTATACCCACGATAGAAGACTCATCGGGCACTTAAGAGTACGCTTCCCGAGAGTAGACTTCCGCGGCCGGAGGTTACACTGGGCATCATGATGCGAAACCATCCGCCTTCCAAAGTGAATGCAATGCTTGGGGCTAACTCAACTAAAGGGGGGGTTGTCTTGAGGGCTCTATTTCCATCGATCAGGTCAACGTTGACACTAAATTCGCCGTTTATTGTTTTGGAGGGGAGACAACGCAAAGGATATATCGCGGTGTCAAATTATTTGCCAAAGATAAACGGAATTTCCTGCATTTATATCGTTTTCACCATGTTGGACGAAGTCTTCTCTAGCTCCGCGCTCAAGATAGTTGCGTCCTCTACCAAGATGGCGATGTTCCGAAAGCTTGGACTAAGCTCCTTCAGCAGCCTTTCTTTCTCAAGCGGACGGCATACTGTGATAACGCCGAACCCGCCAGCCCGCAACATTGCCGGGTTCAAGTGGTGGATCTGGCACAATCGAGCACATGGAGGGGTGTATGTAATCACCCGAGGTGTGTACTCATTCAAAACTCGACCAACGCCCCTCCAACCAGCTCTTTCTCGAGAACATACTAAATCTTTCCAAAGCCGCAGCTTGCTGGATTCCAGCGCGGCATGTCTGGCACACAACTACGGAGATACCTGGTTGGTTCTATACCACGACAGTGAGGAAACAGAACAATGCACCCACGCACGCAGCGCCCCCTTATTCAAACAAGAAAAGATGATGCGGGAAACATCGAGACTATGAGCAGCCGCAGGTGCAAGTGGGAGGAGAACGTCATCACCTGGGATGCCTGGCACATGTATAGTATTGTAATATCGCCAGCATGCCCAGGAAAAGTCTCGTGGCAGACCTCTTTGACGTGCTCGAGAACGCTCATGTAGTCCATAATTCTCTTGCGTGTCACCTCCCACGAGTCGACAGCCAGCCAACTTTTGAGGACACAACGTAGGTTCGAAAGGGCATCGTTCTTGAGTCGATGTAGTAAGAGTGATTTAGCTTCAAAGGGTCATTTCTACGTACAGTACACCGGTTCTGTACAAGTGAAACAGAGTGAAAGCATTGTTCGTAGGCTCCTCGCCATACCGGGGAAATGACATATGATAGGACTACTTATTAAAACTAATGCGGAGAGTGCGAAGGGTTTGTTGATATGGTCATTTGCACTTTCGGCGTATAGACCCACCTTCCCTTTCCTACTGCCGCACGTGCCATGGAGAGCCGATGCTTCGGTGGGATTATCTCGGCCGCTCTTACGCGATGACGTTGACGGACTAGTGTCGGGTGCGACGGACTAACAATCCCACCCACGACGCGCATCTGTAACGACGGGATATGATAACACGATGGCAAACATCGTTGGACTTGCTCCATCGAGAGAAGCAGCGCGAATCACGCAGTCCTCTAGGTCTTATGCTGTGTTTCCTTTCAAATCGGAATATCCTGTGTCACCTAGACTCTGTGCACCAACCTATACTACGCCCATCGGTACAATTGAGAGACATACCGATATCCGCGCCCAATGGCAACCCGCTGAACTGAAGCAACCACAATTGAATAGATTTTACGACCCCATTGGCCCGCCCTCCAAAGCACAACGATATACCACATGGGGACTCGTAGAGCACGCGTGGGGTTCTTTGTGCTCAAAGCATTGCGATAATATAGCAGTTCAGGAACGCACACACACACACACTTGCCCCTTTCTGCATCTCCAAATAGTTCCTTGCCAGGTAGAATCTGCGGATGTGAATCTTGTGCACAGGGTTGAACGTTCCGGACCCGACGATCAGCACCTTGGACCGTGTTTCATCCTCTCCATTTTTGAACCCTTGCCTCACCCGCGCAACTACCGCATTAGAGGTGAACGGATTGTTCGGTGACACAAGCGATCTGCAACGGCCGGCGCGAACGGTACGCAGTTTCTTCCCTGAAGGCAAGCTTTTCACAACCAACCTTCGTGAGTCTCGGTTTTCAAAGTCGTATGGTAAGATATCTCGATTCGTCGGTAGATCTTTTGAGAGAGCACCGAACGATTTTCTCGAAGTACCCTCGGCCGCTCCCAACATATCGCAAGGTGTCATGCCGACATCTCCATTCGAATCGACGTCGCGATTGTCCCCGCACTCCGGCCCGCTCGGAACGCTAGGTTGAAGGCGAGAAAAAACTCGACTTCGGTGTGATTTGGACGAACGTTCAGGAGACAGTACGGTCCGTTCTGCATGCTGGAGAAATCCGCGCGATGGTTGACCTAATAGTTCCTCCTTCCAAGAAAGCGAAGAGTCCATACTGGGTTTACGAACGACGCCGCTTACAGTAGTCTCGACCATGCTGCTTTCTTGCGGACCTTCCAAGCAGCGATTGCTTTGTTCTTCTTGTCGCGTTCCAGGCAATTGAGGAAGGTTCCCATACCCCAAAATAGCGGCTGGTTGTCCCCACGAAGGCATCGATTGTTCCTCAGACGGCAGCAGAGCTGGGACGCTTCTGCTCACTCCGAACTCTCTTGGAGGAGTCGAACCTTGAACGCCTGGCGAGCGCCCTACGCTTGGTAGTCGTCGCTTGCGGTGGTGATTGGCAGATTCGAACCCGTCAATTGGCAACTTGGGGTTCACAGCTCCGTGTACGTCTTGGCTATATTTTCTCCGGTCACCCTGAAAGGCCAAGTTGGAATAGCCTAGACTGGATTCAAGGGTTCTCACCCTCTTCCATCGCCTCTCCTCATCGTTTTCACGGTTTACTTCCATTTGCCTCCCGCATGATGGGGGGTTGCTCATCATACAACGTGGGTAGTTCTCCTACTCTCTGGAGCCCAAGCGGTAGGGAATGCACTGAGACACATGTTAGGCAATCCAGCTACGGCCATAAGAGACGGCAGCCGTTTGACCTGCTACCTGCTACCTGCTACCTGCTCTACATCCAGCACGCGCCGAACCGGCACAGGCGGCGGGATTAATTTGACAGTCCCGCGTGTTCGTCCTTTTCCGTCGTTCCCCTCCTTCCTTCTCTTTGGTGTTTCTCCTCGTTGTCCGGGGTTAAGCGTGTGGCGTGTGTGTGTCGATGGGAGCTGCGGTGGGCGTACCAACTTCAGAAGAAATGAACGTGTATTATGAAGTTAAGAAGGTGGGGGATCGACGCAGAAAGAAATATGCCCCTGTTGTTCAACCGGCGGCGTCAATCGAGAACGAAACGTTTTTGTTGTGAGGACAACCACACTCGCACATTCTTCTTGAAGGATAATCCTTCACTGATGCTGTGCAAACGCGTCAAACAACACAACATATTCTTCCACGAATAAACGTTCGTATCGATGCAATAGGCTTGATGAATAGTAGTCCAGCTGCTGCATGGATAATTGTGAGAGGTTTTGGGGATGATGCGATGCGCCGCGTTGTCATATTTCCATCCGCACCAGCGAACGGGAAACGGCCAAGAGCAATTTGTTGGAACCCGTGATTGACCGCATGATGTTGCTAACACCTCCCCCCCCCGCGCACACTCTGTCTGGAAGAGCCTACGTGCGACTTCTTGATGCTTTTGGTGGGTCACCGAAGCTGACATCTGTAGCTGTTGTAGCCTGTGTCAAGCGGTCGTCACTTTTCGAAGCACCATGCCTGCCGTTCGATTCGTTCTATTTCCGGTAGGCGTATGAAGGCCTGTCCGAAGTTCAAAAACAAGACGTATCGGAACTAACAGCTCTGGCAGACATGTATCGGAAGGTAACGAAAATCAGGGTTGGGCGTTTTATTCCTTGTTGGGGATGGCAGAACAGGGGATTTGACGCTGGCTCTTTTCTTATACTTTAATCCGATATATAGACAGAAAATAACCTTCCCGCCGGAACCTGGTAATCAGTAGTCTACTAATATCAGTAGAGGACACCATCAAGAGGCGTCGTGCGTGCTGGCACGTTCAGGTTTGCTACTGGAGCTGAAATATCGAAGGTCGAAGCAGTCCCTGAAAGCAGTCCGAAGTCTCCGTCGGAACCAAGCGGCATCCAACATTTGGCACAGCCGTGCTCACCGCCACGGCCCGTAAATCCCTGAACCGAGGGGTCGTCAGCAGTTAGGTACTGCTGTAGTGGCATTAGTTACTGCTGTAAACCCGCAGTTCAGGAGATTGGAGTCAGTGGCAGCGAGCACAAACAGTACAAGACACTGGGTGTCGGTCCAGTTTGCGGAGATTGTAGGCCACTACAACGACGCTCGACATCACCACCACAGGAGCAGATTAAAGCGCGCCAACACGCACCCCCCGCTGCTATAGGATGTCCTCTAGTGATAATTGTACTATGCACCAGGTTCCTGGCAACACAGACCTTATTTGAGCTCCTGCCGTTTTGGCTCTTTGGACTTGAAGTTAGAATAGTGTTGATTAATCTTGTTTTCAAAGGAGGCGTATCGAGGTGGACGCGTGAAATGTATGTTCTGAGCAGCCTCCACTGCCGCCCGGTGCTAGAATCAACAATTTATGTTCGCGATGCCTCCGGACTTGTCGTGTGTGTCTCTTGTGCGTTTTTTGGTGCTCTTGCGTTGTTGTCAAGAATAGTCAACATCAAACTTCGTGAACTGCCATCCCTTGAGTCGTGTACTGGTGTTATTCGACGAGCGCCGAAAGGCGCTCACAGGAAAATTAACGTTCTCTTGCGTACGCACGATACCAGCTACCTGTGGATGATCATACGATACCTGTAAGATGGTCATCAATAAATAATACTGTCAAGAAGCCTCACGACACGTTTGGTCCCACTTCGAGCGCGTGCGCGTTGAACAGGGTTTAGAAAAGTGCACGAGAAAGACAGACGATGATCAAGTACACCAACTTTTGGCACTGAGCGACGACGAGAAACTAGAGCTAGGCAAGGCCGTTCTCCAAGCAGTGCTGCAAAAAGAGAACGGGTTGCGTGTCAAGATGGAATCCACCAGGGACTACGACAGCTCTTTCGGCGGAACAAAGCAAGACACACAGGCGAGTGACTTGCAAGCGCAACGACGCAAGGGCACGCTGCTGCAACTATTTCGCAGTTTACTCCTGCGCTCGATTGGCGTTGTTGGTCGAGGCCTATAAGGTATGTGATTGACGGATTGCGAAGGCAACATCAAACATGTTTCCCACCCTTCAAGCTCCTCATTGTTGTTTGACCGCTCTTTTATTGATGAGAACCGATTACTTCTTGGTACGCAGTCTAGCTTTCGAGCACAGGCAGGGCCAGCTGCTACGCTTCCTTGGCATGTCAAGTCTCGTTTCGTGGGTGGATACGGTTTGCGTATTGGTGACGAGTATCCATTTCAGATAATGAAAGTCTTTCTTGCCACGTACCTGTTGTACAGGTGGAAAACGAATACGCTAGCCTGGTTAGGGGAGACCATGGTGCGGAACCTACAGAACACACTTTCCCAATTCTGCGGACAGTCGAGTGCAACAACCAAGAGGTGAAAGGCACAGCTTCTGAACTGTAGACAACCCGTTCCTCGCACAGTGCGTGTCATCTTCGTGCAGGAAGACCTATCGCCAAGCACTTCCGTAGCGTACTTGCAAGGGCTCGATAATGCAAGTTCACACGCTTCACACTCAGTTGTCGTTCTTGGAGCGGCCAAAGCGAGGGAATCGAAAATTAACAGAGCCAAGAAGAGGTCTCGCCGTCTCACACAGTCTTGGTCCCACCCAAGTTCATACGAGCACTTCGAAATCGAAACAAAACATGTTTTTTTCACCGCGTATCGTATTCCGGATCCTCGTGTGTGGTGTCGCACTGATGCTCATGCAGGATTTGGTGAAGCTACGATCTGCTGGCAACTGGTTGCGGTATCTGGGAGCGAAAGGCTGCTACTTTTGGATCCACTCTCTTACGAGGGAGGTCACAGCGCTTCGCCCTCCCGACTACGTTGACGAAAACTCCCTTGCGGAGGCCAAAGAGGAAGATGACGTCACCGGTGAGGGTGGATAGGATAGAAGGGTCCAAAGCGCGGGCAGCCTTTGCCGATCCATGATGCCTGGGGGGTGCAGCAGTCTTGATGGGTGACGAGCTTGACCAACCGCTACTGTTATTCAACAGCAACAGCTACACATGACTCATCAAAGGCGGTTGTCATGGTGACTACAATCACGGAGTTGACAGGTGTGTGTGAGCATGCGCGCTAACAAAGTTGGTTCCTAATGTAACCCACCAAGCGCAATTCTTTGTCCTACGGGTCTATCTGGAAATTGTCCCACGGGTCTACCTGGAAACTCACCTATTCCATCGGCCCCCGAGAAATTTGTCTGTCACAAGCTACCACGCCGTGTGTAAGTAAGAAGTGCCTGCCAACATCCGCTTGGCCTGGAAAGGAGTGTATACCCCGCGAGTGTTTCGTCAATGATGTCCCTGAATCGATGAACGCTTCTAGTTTCGACGTTCCATGACACTGTCCGTCGTGTTCTTACTTCACTACAACAGGGGCCTATCCAACCTGCCCGCTCTCGGGGCTGCCGGAGCTGATCGAGAAGATCGTCGATCAAGACAAGAGAACACCCCTCCTCATCGATAACTCTGAAGAAGGCAAAGTAACGGCCTACCTCTCGTACAAGGTAACATACCTGCGTGCATGATGCGGTATACGAGAACCAGGTTCTGGTATCCATAGAATATATTGTTCCTGTTGACATATCTTACATCAACCGGAATGGACCTCCGGTACACCCCGCCTTGGAATAAATTTATTGCTCATTGTTCTTCTCCCGCGCCCGTCTCGTACTGCCAGGCAGTCCTCGTGGATGTCTCTGTCCTTGCGATCGGATACCGAAAGTCAGGGACAAAGGTACGGCCTACATCGTTGGGAATCCTAGGGCGCAATGGAGTAGGTAATGTCTCTCACACCGACTACATTGTGGCACCTGCCGATAGGGTGAGGCCGATCAGTAGCACTATACAGTAGTTGACTCTTCGTTGCTGGACGTCCATGAACAAGGACAAAACGTACCATTGCGAGATAATAGAGAATGCAACGTGCTCGTTCGTGTGTTCCGCTGGTTGTATTGTTTTGGGGTCAGCATTCCTCCAAGTAGTCGAGCTGAGAGCATTGACTGTAACTCTGGAGTGACACCACGAGACCCGCGCTGCAACAACATTAGCCAATATTTTGACCGTAGAAGGGCCGGCCTCGGCTGGTAAGGGTAGGAGCGAAATGGATGCATAAATGGTTATGGTTTCGTGTTTTGGGGCGGTTGAAAAACAAAATAACTTTGAAACGCGACTATCTGAAGGCTAAGAAATGCGAACGAGCCATGCAATATGCGAAAGCAGTCAGCACGTGCAGCACTCACTGCGCGCTGGGAAATCTGACGTTTGATGAGCGGAGAGAAGTATATCCACACTAAAGGAAGAAGTTCGAAAGCTTCGAATGAGGTGAAAAGCACACCTTGGGTGAGCCTATATTGTTGTTGCCGTTTGTCGGACAGCAGGTGTCTGATCTGATGGAAACGGTCAGGAAGAGAGCAGTGGCGGCGATGAAATCAGGGACACTGCTCGCATTGCGACTAGGTGCGCAATCCGTGTTCGCGATACAAGTACGTTGTGCTGCACACTGGCGTTATTGATATCTGATGGGCGTGTGCTAGACAACAGAAGGTACGAGAGTTCGAAAACTGTAACCTAGATCAAGATCTTACCCTCCTAGGCTTCCGTCTCGTACCATGTTTGTAACAGGGCATCTGACTTCGGAGCACGCCAACTTCAAGAGAAAGCTGTGTGCTCGAGATGTTTTCCCTGCCGAGATGTCCCAGGTGAGAAGCAACCTCCACC